GGCCTTGGCAATCCCATACTATCACTTCTGCTCCACTTTATTTATTAAAAGTGAGTTATTAATTCCAGCCCACATTCAAAAGGAGTGGAATTAGACACCACCTTTTGAGAAGAAGATTGTCAAATAAATTGTGGATTTTTTTTCTGTGAGGAAGATTGGCCCTCAGATAATATCTGTCGTCAATCTTCCTCTTTTTTTTCTCCCCAAAGCCCCAGTACATAGTTGTATATCTTAGTTGTAGGTCATTCTAGTTGTTCTATGTGGGATGCTGCCTCACCATGGCCTGATGAGCAATGCATAGGTCCGAGTACGGGATCCGAACCAGTGAACCTCAGGCTGCTGAAGTGGAGCTCACAAACTTAACCACTTGGCCATGGGGCTGTCTCCAAGTGGATATATTTTAAAACATATAACACCAAGAAACCTTCTAATTACTAAAGAAGTTTCTAGCTAGTTTGAAAGCAGGAAGAAAGTAAGAACATCCCAATCTGGAAAGCTATGTCCTCTGGCAGAATTTATGTGTTGTTTTATTGTAGGTTTGGCTAACGTGGGTCAGTCTTCCAGATCCTGCTTAACCATGGGTGAACTGACATAATTAAGATCTTGGTATGATTTCAATCTTCTTAAATTTGTTAAGACTTGTTTTGTGGCTTAAAATATGATCTATCCCGGAGAATGCTCCATGTTCACTTGAGACGAATGTGTATTCTGTTGCTTTTGTATGGAATGTTCTGTATATATCTGTTAAATCCATTTGGTCTAATGTGTCATTTAAGGCCAATGTTTCCTTATTGATTTTCTGTCTGGATGATCTATTCATTGATGTAAGTGGCATATTAAAGTCCCCAGCTATTATTGCATTGCTGTCTGTTTCTTAACAAATAATTTTTGTAACAAGTCTTAACAAATTCAGGAAGATTGAAATCTTATCAAGCATCTTTTCTGATCACAATGGTATGAAACTAGAAATCAATTACAAGAAGGGAGCTTGAAAATTCACAAGTATGTGGAGATTAAACAACATGCTACTTAATAACCAATAGGTCAATGAAGAAATGAAAAGATAAGTAAAAAAGTACCTTGAGGCAAATGAAAATGAAAATACAACATACTAAAACTCATGGGATGCAGCAAAAGCAGTTCTAAGAGGGAAGTTCATAGCAGTAAATGCCTACCTTAAGAAATAAGGAAAATCTCAAATAAATAACCTAACTTTACACCTCAAGGAACTAGAAAAATAAGAACAAATGAAACCCAAAGTTAGTAGAAGGAAGGAAATAACAAATACTAGAGCATAAAAAAGTGAATGCAGACTATGTTATAGAATAAATGAGATAGAGACTAAAAAGACAATAGAAAAGATCAATGAAACCAAGAGCTGTTTCTTTGAAAAGATAAACAAAATTGATGAAACTTTAGTTAGACTCACAAAGAAAAAAAGAGAGAGGACCCAAATAAATAAAATCAGAAGGGAAAGAAGAGATGTTACAACTGATATTACAGAAATACAGAGGATTATAAGAGACTAACATGAACAATTATATGCCAAGAAATTGGACAACCTATAGGAAATGGATGAATTTCTAGAAACATGCAACCTTCCAAGACTGAATCATGAAGAAATAGAAAATCTGAAAAGACCAATTACTACTAAGGAGATTGAATCAGTAATCAAAAACTCCCAAGAAGCAAAAGCTCAGGACCAGATGGCTTCACTGGTGAATTTTATCGAACATTCAAAAAGTTAACACCAGTCCTTCTCAAACTCTTGCAAAAAACAGAAGAGGAGGAAACACTTCCAAACTCATTTTACGAGTCCAACATTACCCTGATACCAAAACCAGGCAAAGACCCCACAAGAAAAGAAAGTTCCAGGCCCATATCCCTGATGAACATAGACGTAAAAATCCTCAACAAAATATGAGCAACCCAAATTCAATAGCACATTACAGAGATGATATGCCATGATCAAGTGAGATTTATTCCAGGGATGCAAAGATGGCTCGGTAGCCACAAATCAATCAATGTGATAGGCCACATTAACAAAATGAAGGATAAAAATCATACGATCATTTCAACAGACATAGGAAAAACATTTGACAAAATTCAACATCAATTTATGATAAAAACTCTCAACAAAGTGGGTATAGAGGGCAGGTACCTCAAGATAATAAAACCCATACATGACAGGCCCACAGTTGACATCATACTCAATGGTGAATAGCTTAAAGCTTTTCCTATAAGATCAGAAACAAGACAAGGATGTCCATTCTTGCCTCTTTTATTCAACATAGTACTGGAAGTCCTAGCCAGAGCAATTAGGCAAAAAAGAAATAGAAGGCATCCAAATTGGAAAGGAAGAAGTGAAACTGTCTCTATTTGCAGATGACATGATATTATTTACAGAAAACCTTAAGGACTTCACCAAAAAACTGTTAGAACTAATAAGGAAATTCAGTAACCTTCCAGGATACAAAATCAATTTACAAACATCAGTTGCATTTCTATATACTAATGGTGAATTATCAGAAAGAGAAATTAAGAAAATAATCGCATTTATAATAGCATCGAAAAGAATAAAATAGGAATAAATTTAACTCAGGAGGTGAAAGATCTATACACTGAAAACCATAAGATATTGATGAAAGAAACTGAAGATGGAAATAAATGGAAACATATTCTGTGCTAATGGATTGGAAGAATTAATATTGTTAAAATGTCCATATTACCCAAAGCAATCGACAGATTCGATGCAAACTCTGTCAAAATTCTAAGGGCATTTTTCACAGAAATAGAACAAACAATCCTAAAATTTGTATGGAAGCACAAAAGACTCCAAATAGCCAAAGTAATGTGGAGAAAGAAGAACAAAGCTGGAGGCATCACACTCCCTGATTTCAAACTATATTACAAAGCTATAGCAATCAAAACAGTATGGTACTGACAGAGAAACAGACACACAGAACAATGGAAAGGAATAGAGAACCTAGAAATAAACCCACATATGTATGGTCAATTAATTTATGACAAAGAAGACAAGAACATACAATGGGGAAGGGAATAAATGGTGTTGGGAAACTGGACAGCTACATGCAAAAGAATGAAACTGGACCACTACTATATGCCATTCACAAAAATTAACCCAAAATGGATGAAAGACCTGAATGGAAGACCTGAAACCAAAGAACTCCTAGAAGAAAACATAAGGTGGTAAGCTCCTTGACATCTGTCTTGGTGATGAGTTTTTGGAGTTGACACAAAAAGCAAAGACAACAGAAGCAAAAATAAACAGGTGGGACTACATCATACTAAAAAGCTTCTGCACAGCAAAAGGAAACCATCAAAAAAACGAAAAGGCAACCTACCGAATGGGAGAAAATATGTGCAAGTCATTTATCTGATAAGGGGCTAATATAAAAAATATATAAGAACTCATACAACTCAATAGCAACAAAACAAAGAATCTGATTAAAAAATGGGCTGAAGGGGCCAGTTCCATGGCTGAGTGGTTAAGTTCGTGTGTTCCGCTTTGGTCGCCCAGGGTTTTGCTGGTTTGGATCCTGGGTGTAGACACAGCACCGCTCATCAAGCCACGCTGAGGTGGCGTCCCACAGAGCGCAACAAGAACCTACCACTAGAACACACAGCTATGTACTGGGGGGCTTTGGGGAGAAGAAGAATAGGAAAAAAAGAAGATTGGCAACAGATGTTAGCTCAGGTGCCAATCATTATGAAAAAAAAAGGAGCAGAAGATCTGAATAGACATTTTCCCAAAGAAGACATGCAAATGGCCAACAGGTGCATGAAAACATGCTCGACGTCACTAATCATCAGGGAAATGCAAATCAAACCCACAGTGAGATATCACCTCACACCTTGGCTATTATCAAAAAGACAAGAAATAAGTTTTGGTGAGGATGTGGAGAAAAGGGAACCCTTGTGCAGTGTCGGTGGGAATGTAAACTGGTGCAGCCACTATGGAAAACAGTACGGAAGGTCCTCAAAAAGTTAAAAATAGAACAAACCATATGATACAGCAATACCACTTCTGGGTATTTATTCGAAGAAAACAAAAAGACTAACTCAAAAAGATACATGCACCTCCATGTTCACTGCAGCATTATTTATAATAGCCAATATGGAAACAACCTAAGTGTCATTGATGGATGAATGGATAAAGAAAATGTGCATAAATATCCAATGGAATATTGTTCAGCCATAAAAAACAGTGAAATCTTGCCAGTTGAAGCAACACGGATGGACCTTGAGAGCATTAAGCTAAATGAAATGTCAGACAGAGAAAGAAAAAACAAACAAAACAAACAAATAAAAAACCAAGCTCATAGATAGAGTAAGAGAACAGACTGGTGGTTGCCAGAGGGTTGGGGGAATGGGTGAAGGGAGTCAAAATGTACAAACTTCCAGTTATAAAATAAATGTCATGGGAAAACAATATACAGCATGGCGACTATAGGTCATAATACTGTACTGCATATTTGAAGTTGCTAAGAGAGGAGATCTAAAAAAAAAAAATGATTTTGGCCTTCAAAGCTGAGGACCAAAGTGTATTGCTAATCTCTGAGTTAGCAGAGTCCCTGTCTATCCCTGTCCCCCACCTCTCTTCCTCCTCCTGGTGCTAAATACACCGCAGGCTCACCCGTTCTTAGTATAACTATATCTAGGGACGGGTCAATGGATATGGAAGGGAGCGTCCTCACACTCTAAATGGCGGGGACACACGGCTGTGCTCAGTATGTGTTTGCTTAGTTATCCGACCCTCTCTCAGGACAGTTATTATCTCAGGACCTTGTATTATAGTCCTGTCTCAACCCTCCCCACCCCCAGGTGTGAGTTTACGGGGTCTACTTACGTATAGTCTCCCCAGGTCTTAGCACAGAACCCGGCAGGAAGAACTATAGCGAATATTCCCTGAAAGAATACGAGAATGAATAACTGGCACCCGATGAGCATTCCTTGACTGCGGCTCAGTGGATTCCAACATCAGCAGAAAGGTTTGCTCCTCCACCCGCTCCTTGCAAACACCGCTTAGTTCCCTCCTCATGGTTTCTCTTCTCCCTGAAAGTCATCGAGGGTTGACGCAGCTGGGACTTGGGCCTGAAGCGTACGTTTCAGGAAGTCAGCAGGTACACGGGCCGTGCAACCGTACACACCGGCCCGCTGACCCCGGGGCTCTGTGTAGAAGGCGGCGAGACCTCGAGCCTCTTCCCTTCGCCGGCCCCCACCGCGCGCAGCCCTGGCCCGGCCTCGAGACACACACGCGGGACTACAACTCCCAAGACGTCTCGGGCGAGCCCGGCGCGCGCCCCCGGCGGCGGATGGGCGGGGCGGCGGGGCCGCGCGGGCCGGCCGTGTGCACGTGCGCGCGGCGGGGCCGGATGGCTGCGCTCGGCGGCTTCGGGCTCTGGCGGTGGGCGGCGCGCGCGGCGTTGGGGCTTCGGGGCCGCTGGTACGGGAGGGGCTACGCTGCGGGCCCGGCGCAGGTGAGGACGCCGGGTTCCGGCGGAGCGGGCTGGGGTGGGCCGGGCGCCGCGGGACGGTGCTCGCGGCCCCGCAGCGCCAGCATCCCCAGCCTCGGGCGAAACGGCCTTGACCCCAGGAACCCTTCGCTCTCGCCTCGGCCGCGGCCGTCCGCGGCGCGCCCGCCTCACCGGGCCTGGCGGCCTGCCGCGCCTGCGCGCTGGGAGGAAAGGCTCTCCAGCGAGACCCGAACAGAATCCCAAACCGCGCGCCGGGCGTTTCCTGCCGCTCCGCGTCCCCAGAGTCCCCCGGTGGCGGCCGTGCTCCCGTTTCCCGGTCAGGGTGTCATCCCTGCGCTGCCTCTTTGATTTCCTCGATGAGAGCCTTTGGTGATGATTTTCAACTACAGTGCAGCTTCACGAGGTCTGGGGACTCGCGACGGACCCCCGGGCTGCCCTGGGAGCGCCCCGCCGTCGGCGGGCGCGCTGGCCTCGAGGACGGGCTGCGCGGGGCGCCAGGTTGCGCTGGGTGTCTCATTTTCTCAGCGGCTTGGGAGGTAGGAGAGGCCTCGGCGTCTTAGGAAGGACGCTGAGGCTTGGAGTCGAGTTTTGAAGTGCTTTTTGTTTTAAGGTCAAGCAGCTGCTAGACGACTGTGCCAGGACTTTGTAAGGTAGTCAGAGCCATACCCTCCCTTCCCCCTGGTCAGTTTTTTAAAAAAGAGGCTCATTTTGTCTTCTAAATTCACAATTTCTGTATGTAATAATGATAATATTTTACATTTGTAAAACGCTTTCACAGCATTTCAATTCAACCCTAAATTCTGTGTGTACCGCTGAAAAAATAAGGACAGTTTGAACATAATCACAATCCATTATGCCTGACAACATTAATAATTCTTTAATATCTCTTAAAATCCAGTCCTTTCAAAATTGTCCGTGATTGTCTGAAAATTATAGGTAAATGCATTTTGCATTTGAACTTTCAGAACCGAATGCCCTGTGTCCATACAGTACAAGAAGGAGGGCAGACCATGTGCTACAATGGCACAGTCCTTACCCCAGGGACCTGCCTTCCAGAGGCCCCACCTGCCCCTTGGCAGGTGGTCAGGAGGTGCCTGAGGGGAAGGGCTGTCTTATTTCCCCCTAACCCTTCATCCTTTGGTGGTTCGGCATTCATCAGCCTTCAGTGAGCACTGCCGAGGGTCTGAGCATTGTATCACATTGGGGGTTAAAAGGTGGATCACAGCTGGTCTCCCCTTTAGACCCCGCAGTGATTCTCTTTGAGAAGAGTAAGACAAAATCTGGAAAGAACTGTGGTTCCTTTCCCCAGGACAGATGCACATAGAGTTTTAAGGGAGTTATGGCCCCCTGAGTCTATCTGTGGGCCCCAAGTGAGGCCTCCTGTTCTAGTGGGATTTGTTGAGGAACAGGGAGGGGTTCCGGGGATCTTTGAGGGCCGTCGGGTGCGAGAGCACATTGAGTACAGAGGAGAACGAGCACTCATGGCTTGGCCTGGCGGGAGCTGAGGGCCGACCTGGTACCTCCTGGATCCCCTCCTGGCTCCGAGGTGCTGCCGTGTGGGCTGCTGAAGAGCTTACTTTGCTGTGAGTGCAGTTGGAGGCTGAATTCTGAATCCAGCATTTGTGAACGGGGTCACCTTTGACTTGTTCTCTCTGAATTTGGTTTCTCATTCATCAGTCAGTTATCCGGTGAATATGTACTGCACACCGTGTATAAACAGGTCCCTCTTGTAGGTAATGTCAGTTGGAGATAGGGACAGTCGTCCCCAGAGCGCTGGTATGAAGATTAAATAAATGTACGTTTGTTACATTTCTAGCTCGGGGTGCAACAGAATCTGCCTTTGGAGCCAAGAGATCCAGACACTGTTTAGGCATTTCCTGCAGGGCATATGGACTTGACCAGTTTCTCCCTGGCAGCTCTGTGTGCTGGTGGTCAGAAGTGCTGTCTTGCTGATTGGAGTTGCTTTCCTGCTCTTTTTCCAGTGTCCTTTCCCACCTCCAGCTCGGCACTGAAGCTGTTGTCTGAGCCTGGGCGGCTGTGCAGGAGCTGGGAGACCGCCTCCTGGGGGGTCCTCCCTGTTAAAGGAGGGGAGATGGATCGTGACTTTGCAGTCACTCCATTCCTTGTTTCACTGGTTGCAGAAGCTCATCCCTCTCGGCTTCCTTGACCCCACATGCTCTTCCTTTTCCTCCTGTCCCTGACTGCTACTCCGCGCTCTTCCTGCTGGCTCTGACATGGCCCGTCCTTAAAGGGCGATGTTCTCCCTGTTCTCCAGGAGCCTCACTTCGGCTCACAGTCTGTGTGTGCTTCTCAGGCTCTCCTCTCTCTCCGCTCCCAAGTTTCAGCTGTTGTCTGAGAGCTGACCTTCCAGATTTTCGTCTCCAGGACCTTCTGTCCAGTGCTGGTTTGGCCACTTGCCTGTCTGCAGGTCCAAGGTGGGACATATCTTCTGCCCTCCTTGATCTCATAGCTGCTGCTCTTCCAGAGTTTCTTGAGTCTGTGAGTGATACCAGCATCCCCCCTCCCATGTTCCCAAGCTAAAACACCCATGGGAGTCCCTGTGGTCGCTCCCTCCTTCTGTCCCCACATCTGACTGTTTCCAGGTCTTGGCTGTTCTGCCTCCTATGTATGATTTTCCCCCTTTTCTCCATTCCTGTTGCCACTACCTAGTTAAAGCCACTGTCGTCTCTGTCTTGGATTGCAGTTGGTCCCATCTGATCCCTTCAACTTGACTTTCTTCAGTCCACTCAATCCATTCTTCACTCTGCAGCCAAGAGTTTTCTACCGCGCGGGTCTGATAGTGCCACTTTCCTCTTTGAAAGTCCTTAAACTGACCTGGGAGACCTGTGATGGCCAATCCTCTCACCTGCCACAGCTTAGGTACCCCTGATGCAGCTTCTCAGAGGGGAACCTCATTTCTTGATGTAGCACTCAGCATAGACTGCCCTGTGGCTGCTTGTTGGACTGTCTTCCCCACTGAACTGTAGGCAGAGGCCCCCTCTGCCTGCTTGGGTGGTCTGCTGCTGCTGGCGCTCTCAAGGGGTATTTGTTACGTGAATGCATATATTTAACTCTTTCATTGCCTAGCTCAAAATTCTCTTCTAAGAAACTACCCCTGTTTACTTCTGTTCGTTTACTCAGAAGTTAAGTACTTAAAATTGATTTTACACTTGTGAAAATGCTGCAGTTTTAGCGGGTTTAAGTATTTTCTAGACCTGTTGCTTGTTCTTTCTTCTCAACTAAGCAGTGAGGCGCTGGAGTGTGGTTCGTCTGTGTTTTGGGTGCTTCTCATAGAAGGAGCCTGTGCATAGAGCAGGTGTGTGGGGTCAGGATGGCTTGACCTACTTGGCACCAGCAAAAGAAAAATTGTAAACAGGTTAGGTTGGATTTTTTTGACAATTGAAAAACATCTTGTATGCTAACAGTTTATAAAATAAGAAATGGGTCAAATTATTATTATTATTATTTGTGTGTGTGTGTGAGGAAGATTGGCCGTGAGCTAACATCTCTTGCCAATCTTCCTCTTTTTTTCTTTTCTTTTTCTTCTTCTCCCCAAAGCCCCCCAGTTCATAGTGGTATATTCTAGTTGTGGGTCCTTCTGGCTCTGCTATGCGGAACGCCGCCTCAGCATGGCCTGATGAGCCGTGCTGTGTCTGCACCCAGGATCTGAACCAGTGAACCCTGGGCTGCCAAAGCGGAACGCACAAACTTAACCACTTGGCCACGGGGCTGGCCCCTGGGTTGAATTTTTTAAAAGAGGGCAGTGTTCAACTTTATAAATCCAGGAAATGCAGATCAAGATGAGATACCTTTGTTTGTTTTTTTTTGAGGAAGATTTAGCCCTGAGCTAACATCTGCCACCAATCCCCCTCTTTTTGCTGAGGAAGGCTGGCCTTGAGCTAACATCTGTGCCCATCTTCCTCTACTTTGTATGTGGGACGCCTGCCACAGCATGGCTTGACAAGCGGTGCCATGTCTGCACCTGGGATCCAAACCGCCAAACCCTGGGTTGCTGAAGCGGAATAAGCTGCTTAAGCGCTGCGCCACCAGGGCAGCCCCGAGATAACGTTTTTTAAACTTTTAAATTAATAAGACTTTTGGTAATTAATAAACTCTTTGATATATGTGAAAATCAATATTGGCAAGGGTAGAGTGTATTACCAGTAGCTACATAAGTTGGTACATGTTTTTGGAAAACAATTTGTCAGTAGGTGTTACGTTGTTAAAATGTTTGCACTCTTGATTTCTTTCTCCCACTTTTAAGTACCGGCTTAAAGAAAAATCCCTAATATGGAAAAATCCCTAATATGGAAAAATCAGGAAGCATGAAGAGATTCCTTATAGCATTATTTGTAGTAGCAAAAATGTGGAGAAACCTAACTGTCCAAAATAGGGGAAATAGAATGTTAGTGGGTTATTCACTCAGAATATTAGTTAACCAGAAATGAAGTTTAGGAGGTAGAGATGTGTGTGTTGATATGGAAAGATAACCAAGAGATACCAGCTAAAAAAAAGTAAGATGGAAAAGAAAGAACAACATAATGCCATCGTGTTAGTTAAAAGATAAGAAATTCATATACTGTATATCCGTAAGAAGTTTCTGGAAAATATACAAGAGAGGGAATAGCACTAGGTGGAAGAAGGAAGCAAGAAACTTTAAAAAAATTTTTATATCATCTGTAGCAGTTGAGTTTTTTTTAAAAACTCTGTGTATGTGGTTATAATAAAACAAAATTTTAAAAGATGATTATGAAGGCAAGGCTGGCCCCGTGGCCGACTGGTTAAGTTCGTGTACTCTGCTTTGGCAGCCCGGGATTTTGCCGGTTTGGATCCTGGGCTCAGACATGGCACTGCTCATCAGGCCAGGCTGGGGCAGCGTCCCACATGCCACAACTAGAAGGACCCACAAGTAAAATATACAACTATGTACTAGGGGGATTTGGGGAGAAGAAGAAGGGGAAAAAAAAAGAAGATTGGCAGCAGACGTTAGCTCAGGGCCAATCTTTAAAAATAAAGAAAGAAAGAAATGGTAGTTATGAAGGCTATTGTAACAGATAAAAATGCTTCTGTGTCAAGCAGAAAGAACAAGATGCAAACTTGCACATAACGTACAGTAGCCACATGACAAACATAAGAATAGAAAAAGGAGAGATGGAAGGAAAATATTAATTGGTTGTGTTAAAGTGCTGGGATTTTGTTATTGAACTTCTCTGTTTTCCAGTTAAAAAATTCCTTTATATTAATTAAGCAAAAATAATTTTAGCAAAATAGTTATATGCTTAAAAATACATGAAAAAAGAATAATTCTCTGTTATAGTTGGACTTGTCTTATCAGAAACCCCATGTCCTCATTTTCTGTTTGCACTGACGCAGCTTTTCCAGGGCGCCAGCCGACCTGAGGATGGCGTGGAGCCCCTCTTTGTGAGGGTCTTCTCCGTCCTCCCTCTGCCTCTGGCCCTGGGCAGTGCTGCTTCTCTTCTCCCCTGTGCAGAGCCCGCCCACCTTTGGGTTCCTGTTGGACATCGATGGAGTGCTGGTGCGGGGCCACAGAGTGATCCCCGCCGCTCTGGAAGCGTTCCGCAGGCTGCTGGACTCCCAGGGGCAGCTGCGGGTGCCCGTGGTCTTTGTCACGAATGCTGGAAACATCTTACAACACGGCAAAGCCCAGGAGCTGTCAGCCCTGCTGGGGTTCAAGGTCAGGAGGCCGCCAGAGACCTGGAAGCCCAGGGACCTGGTTCCCCGGGGACCCCCCCTCCAGTTCTGACCAAGGCTCCTTCCCTGGGCTGGGGCACAGTGTGGAGAAACCCGAGGGCGTGGCCAGTTGGGTCAGTACAAATCTTCCAGCACTGCCGGGAAAATGCCTTGGAGTTCAAGCCCAGCCTCATGAGCAGAGCCGCAACAGTAGGGCCATTTTTTTATTCTATAAATACACATTGAGCCCAGAAATCCTGCTCATGTGTTTGTCAGCTTGAGTCTCCTGTCTTTGTGCCCATTTCTTTTCTTCTGGGCATCAGGGTTGTCTTGTGGGTTGTCAGCCTCTGGAAAGGAAGGGTCACATTCGCCTTAGTCTCCATGTGACAGGTGGGACTCTGACGTAACAGCCCTTGTTCCTCAGAAATGAAACGCGCATCTGAAGGAGCGCTTCCCCAAAAGCAGCCCTTCTTCCGCCGCCTGCAGCTCCAGGCCGTGTCCCAGCGTTACGTGTTCTTTGTGAAAGATGGATTTAGTTTTTGGAAACAGTCCTTTGGAACCAAACAGTAAATAAAGTAGCTGATTGGCTGGTGACACTGCTTGGGGAGGACCACAGCGAGTGAAGGAATAAAGCTGGTTTCCTTCTCTGCTCTCCAGAAAGAGTTCCAAAACATTCTGAGTAAAGGCTGCATTGTTGGAGTTAGAATAAATGTCAAAAAGCTAAGTCTTTAAGTAGAACTGAAAAGACAAAGTCAAAGTCAAAGGGAGGTTTCTATGACAGACGAAGAATGCACGCAAACCCTGTGGTTTCCAGTTAGGGGACTGAGGCACACAGAGGGTGCTAGTGAGCTGAGCAGGACAGCACTGGGGAGCAGTCAGAACCCATGGCCCCTGGCGTTTCCTGCTTTCTTGTTTTGTGTGGCAAGAACCAAATTAGATGCTTCTCACACCTGTTTGGATAGTTTCTAGAAGTCCTGGGTGCCAGAAAAGGCTTTTCTCTCTTCTTTTTCTGGTAGGTTTTCCCCCCTCCTAGGTGAAAGAGCCTGCTACCCATCTCCCCATGACTTTCCCTCTACAGTTGTGTTGTCTGCTCTCCTCTGTCTCTTTGCTGTCCCTGCAGGTGGAGCCAGACCAGGTTATTCTCTCCCACAGCCCCATGAAGCTCTTCTCACAGTACCACAGGAGGCGGATGCTGGTGTCCGGGCAGGGCCCGCTGGTGGAGAATGCGCGAGCGTATCCTCTGGTGCTTCTCACCCTGGCTGCCGAGGGAGGACTAGTGAGGCGTGGCGGGCGCAGGCTGCCAGGGCTCAGGGGATAGGTGGTGGGCTCTGAGGGAGGGAGGAGGGCTCCCTGGTATGGCCAGTCCTGGGCCTGGTGGTCTCCAAAAGCCAGGCCACATGCCACTGCAACAGAACCTCCCGCAGAGCTTAAAATATAGAATGCTGGGCCTTACCCCTGGGGAGTCTGCATTCACTAGGTCTGGGATAAAAGTCAGCAATCTGTATTTAAGAAAAGAATGCTAGGCGATTCTGTAATCAGGTTTGGGCACTGCTGCGCTAGTGCTGTTCCTTGGGGTGCTCAGTCAACTTATCAGCCAGTGTTAAGTATCTGCAGTGAACTCATCCTTCTGTGTTTTGCACACTCAGAAAGCAGGAGACTTGGGTCCTGTTCTCAAGCAGCTTATTCATTTGCTCATTCCACAAACCTGTGCTAGCACTTCCTGTGTTACCAGCACTGTGCTGCGTGCTCTAAAGGGGGAAGGAGGCCAGGAAAAGCACAGCAGGATTGTGACTTTATCAAGGGGTTCATACCTGGGGACGCAGGAATCACACCCCATAAACAGAGGAGTATTTAAGACAGCATAGGATGGAAGACTAGGAAGAGAGCATAGGCTCCGAGAGTCACAGGTGTCGGGGGAGGGAGCCTGTTTCAGGAGTAGGATTACCTGTGACTTCGTGGAGGGGGTGGCCATGCACCAGAGAGTTAAAGTTCCCCACGCAGGGGAAGTAGCCAGGGAGGCTGGAAAGAGGAAGGATGGTGAGGAACCCTGAAGCCAGAGGCTGGAATGGGCCGGGTGGGGAATGAGAGATTAGGGAAGGTGGTGCCTAGGGTAGGAAATGGGAAGTAAACGCGAGAAGTAAGTGAACTTGCTTATGAGGCAGCTGGAGTCAGTGCAGGCTTTACTGCTGACTGGGGTGGTCTGATGGAAGCAGCGTTGTTGGGGGATTCATTTTGAGAGTAATCTGAAACCATGTCGAGTTAGGATTGCAAGTGTCAGTAGAGGACAGGAAAATGGAGGCAGGGCTGGGAGAGAGAGGGCTGGAGCTGGCTTGCCCCTCACCAGGTTCTCCCCTTCCTGGCTGAATCTGGTTCATCCTTCAAGATGTAGCTCAAGTGTAACTTCTCTCTGACCATTTGCCCACCTGCCCAGCCCCCCGAGGAGTCTCTCTCCTGAACTCCTCGGCAGGCAGCGGCAGCCCTGTTCACAGAGCGCTGCTTTCATGGGCTCTGGGCGTGTGGCGAGCTCTGTGAGGACACAGGGTCTTGTATGTCCTTGTTCCCTGGGAGTGCCTGGCATGGTCCCTGGGCCCTGGGGGTGCGCATCCCGCTCTGCCTGTGCTGTCACAGCCCACCTGCCAGCACCTTCAGGATCGGTGTCGGCCTTGCTGGGCTCTGTCTGGGGATTGGGTGGACTGGTTTGATCAGGACTAGGTTGGTTCCCCCCACTTTAAAGGCATCTTCCCCCAGAACTGTCGAGTTTTGCTTCCCTGATCTTGCTCTAGACTGGGCTTCGAGAATGTGGTTACTGTGGACGAGCTGCGGGCTGCCTTCCCTGTGCTTGACATGGTTGATCTCCAGCGGCGGCCAAAGACCACGGTACTAAGAAGCATGTCCCAGGGATCTCAGTACTCAGCTCTGTCCTGTTCCTGCAGGGGCTCCTCTCGCTGGCCTGACGACCACCCCCGCTTAGAGTGCATCTCGTCTGTGTGTTTGCAGAGCGGCCTCCTTGGAGAGGCCCATCTGGCCAAGGGTTTCATTCCCCAGATGTACAAGAATGGCCCAGAGGAGCAGCAGGCTCCTGAGGCCTCTCCTTTTTGCATTGTGTGTGATTAGCTGAGAACTCCTCTCAGAGCCCTAGCATCTCCAATGAATAGTTTTATATTTTCCCAGCTGGCTTTCCCAGTGTTGCTTGGGCGAATCATTAACCTTAAGTTACTCACTGCTGCACCTTATCCTGACGCATGCTACAGAGAGTTGTCCTTGTGAGAAACAGCATGCCTAGAAGCGACTGGCGGTTCTGAGTGTCTGCCCGTGTGCCTTCTGGGTTCAGCTCCTCTCTGAATCACTGGTTGGATTTCCCGTCTCTTCTGGTTGGTAGTCACGGGGCCTCTCAGTGATCCTCTGGAGCGTGCCTGCCCGGCTCTCACTGGCCCTTGGCCATCTTTCTCCTCGTGTGAACTCTATATATCACACAGCCTATATTTTAAATCAGGCCACTGGGAAAATGTGATGAGATGCGGTTATAAATAGACAGGCTTACTGTTGTTTGTTTATACAGCGCTAGTCCTCCTTCCTCCAGAACATTCCACGTGAATAGCGCCCTTCATCACCGTTGAGAGCTTTCTCTTAGAACCATGCAGATTATGTGGAGAACCAGGATGTCAGAGTTGGAACAGATCTCAGAACGGCTCAGAGACTGAGCCCCACACAGGGAAAGTGACTTACCCCAGGATACATGGCTGGCTAGTGCAGAGCCAGGACAGTAATAACCTGGGGAAGGAACAGACCCCAAGAGGTGGTTCAGTGAAGGCTCCTGCCTCCTAATCTGACATCAAGAGAAATGATGCATCACGCCCTGATGGCCTCCCTTTTCTCCATAGACACCCCTTCATCTTTAGCTCCCTGGTTCTAGACTCTTGCTTGGCCTGTATCTCATCTCCTCTCCTCACCAGAGGAGGACAGCTGACTCGCCCTTCCTCTTGGCTGACCTTTATATGTGGTCTCCCTCAGCCTGTTCTGTGACCAGCCTGGTCGTTCTCTCTTCACCTTTCTTCATGAACCTTCCTCGGTCGTCTCTGGCTTCTCCTCAGCTTGGGCTAGAGCGGGGGGTGATCTTTGTTCTGTCTGGAATGTGTTTTCCTCCTGCCCCCCTCCCCGGAAAGTGGTGTGTGGTTGTCCAGTGGTAGGAAGGGACCGTTGCACTGACGGCCTGCTCTTTGTCTCCTGGCAGCCCCTTCCGCCGAGTGATTTCCCCGCCATTGAAGGTAATGGCTCCTCTCCTGTGTGGGTGTGGGTCTGGGTGTTCTCTCTCCCCTAGGCCCTCCAGGCTTTTCTAGTATGATAGTTGCCTGCAGATGGGCGGAGTGCCTTGGGGGCATTGGACATCTGCTCACTTGGGTTCTGGTCTAGGATTTGCCGCTCACTACCTCTAAGACATTCATTATTAATCCTTCCTACACTGTATCAATTGCCTGATTATTCCAGAGAAATCATAAGCTTAAAGCTTAGAGGGGAAAGGTACCTAGAGGTAATGTAGTCCAGTGTTTCTCAACCCTCTTAATCCCAGTTTTCCCCTTATATAACAAAAATGTTGTAATGTCCCCTTTACCACCGCAAAATGAGATTCATAGATAATATCTTTCCTTTACACATATATTAAAAATTAATCAGTTCAGTATGAAGCCTGAATTGAAATAGGGAAAAATGAGAGGAAACATTTTTAGTAAAGGAATATGTTTTTCAATATGTAATAATAATCCAATCAGACATAAGGAGCTGCTAAAATGACCATAGACAGAGTCACCCTGAGTGTTACGGCTGCAAGTGCAGACTGATGTGAGTGTGTTTATAGGTGTGATAGAAATGTGTTTTATTGGTGACTCAGAAATTTGAGGCAGCATTGTCATTGGTGAAATGATTTTCCAAAATAGGGAACAACTCTTAATAAAGTTTTGAAAAAATAAAGTACAGTCTTCTCCTAACTTATAGTTACGTTTTTGGAAAAATCAGTGTTTGTTAAGACCGTATCCCCAGTCCTCTGTGTTTACACGTAGAATGGAATGAGAACGTAGGTTCAAGTAGTTCTCAACAGGGTGCTCACCTGTGTGAGTGTCAGATTGCACACTCGCCTTCATAGGAGGTGGGAAAGTTTGTGATTGTGCAGGACCGTCCTGAGCATCTTGCCTCCCGCGCCCCCCCAACCCTCACCCACTAAGTGTTAGTCATTGTGACAGTGAAAACCCATCCTCTGGTCTCTAGACCACCTCCCTAGCGGGGGCACTGCTCCCCGGGGCTGCTGCGCTGGCTCAGTTCACTGGTCTTGTAGTTGATAGCAGCAGCTTCCGTTTTTGAGTGCTGGGTCCAGCATCGTTAAGCACTTTATTTATTATATCTCCCTTTTGTCCTCGTAATGGCAGTAGGTGGTGTTCTCTAGTCCAGGCTGCTGAGGCTTAGCAGAGGTACATACCTTGCCCACAGTCACAGAGGACAGTTGGCAGAGTCAGGCTTGGAGCTCAGGTCTCTGTCAGTCCAGATCCCCCTCTCCTCGCCATTAGGTTTACTGGCCTGGGGCTCAGAGAGAAGCGACTGAGGGAGGTGGGCCCTTTGCCCAGTCCCTGCAGGGTGAGGTGGTGGGGAGAGCATCCTTTGGCAGGATAAAGCGGGCCTGAGACTGCTGCTGCCTTTTCTTAACCTCCTTTGGGAAGCACCGGTGGACACTGGAGATGGGCGCCCTCAGGAACCTCCTTCCTGAGCCCTGGGCTTCGTTCCCCACGGGTCAGTGGGAGAGGGGCTCTTTCAAGGCTGATTCAGGGTCCCCTGTCATGGCTATGGTGAGGGCACCACAGGGAAGAGTTGGTGGTTGGGTGGCACCCACTGGCCTCGGCTGGCCTCCTGAGGGCCTTCCGCTAGCTACCTGCCATGGAGGGTAGGCTGAGTGCCCTGCAACCCTCACCGCCATGCCTTTGCTCTTTAAAGGGGTGCTCCTCCTTGGGGAGCCAGTCCGCTGGGAGACAAGCCTGCAGCTGATCATGGATGTCCTTCTCAGCAATGGGAACCCAGGGACTGGTTTGGCGACGGCCCCCTATCCTCATCTCCCTGTCCTGGCCAGCAACATGGATCTCCTTTGGATGGCTGAAGCCAAGATGCCCAGGTGAGGACACAGAGTCCCTGGTCTTGACCCTGGTGGTCCACTTCCAGCTGCTGCCTAGGCTGCCCTGCTGATGCTTCCTCCGTCATTCTGATGCTCTGGGTGGTCAGACACCTACCTGGGGGCCCTGCAGTTGCACAGAAATCTGGCCTTCTGGGAGGGGTTTCAAGGATCACCTCACATTTTAATGATTAAACAAAAACTACAGCTTACTGAGCACTGAAGCTATGTTGAGATGATCTTGAACACACGACCCTTGCCCTCCAGAGTCTTAACAGAACATGCTGGTGTTGACCAGCGGAACCCAAAGGCTGGGCGGTTGCCGAGGCGTGCCCGTGCAGATTGTTCCGCTGCCCCTCCTCCCTGGGGCCTGGTTCTTTCACTTCCGTGTGTCTCTGGCACGTAAGATGAGGGGGAGAGGCAAGCAAGAGTTATTCTGAGATTGTGGAGACCAGGAGTGAGAACCAGTGCCTACGTGACTTTCCCACAGGCCCACACACCCTGCTCGGCTGTGCAGATGGCATCTGTCCTGTCCTTTTCTGAGGCCGAGCACAGCACAGGCAGCCCTTTTCAGGCCCGCAAAGAGCCTTCCTGAAAGGACAGCTGACAGCTGCTGTGGATTGTGTGGCTGCTCTTATCTGCAAGGCCAAAGTCTAAGAGTTTCTCTCGCTGCCGCTGACTCCCAGTAGCTGTGCGAGTGATCCTTCAGCAGAGGGCAGCAGGGCCCCGTTCTGCCTTAAGTCGCATGACTCAACAGCCCCAGGGAGAAGGGGATTAAGGCGTTCTCTCGTGTTACTTTTAAAGTGTATTTCTGCAGCTCGAGGTTAGGGATTTTCTTTGAAGTATTCTTCCTAGAGTTAGGGTGTGCTGACGCCAGGTGAGGGGTTTGGTTATACAAGCTGTGGACTGAATAGCAAGGGGCACATTTCTATTTATAAACCAGACTTAAGATTAATTTTTCAGTCAAAAATTTAAAAATTGGAAATAGAATTTGTTATATGTATGTGTAAGTGACGCTGAAATATAACTTTAATATATTGTACAGTATCAGTTAGGATTTGGTTTAGCAGCAAGGGATGAAAACCCGTAACAAAGATGTCTTATACAAGACAGAAGTTTATTTCTTACTCATGTCAAAAAAGGTCTGGGGTAGGCAGTCCAGGCTTGTGTGGAAGGCTACTTGTCAGGGACACAGGCACATTCTGTCTTCCTGCTGTGCAGTCCTTAGCCCTTCACTACATAATCCAACGTGGCTGCCCAAACTCCAGCCATCATGTCAGCATTCCAGACAGCAGGAAGAAGTAGGGGAGGTGGAGATGAGCACCCCTTTCCAATTTTAAGGGTACTTCCTAGAAGTTTAGCCCAGCACTTCTGGATCCATTGACTCTGGCTATAGCTTAGTCACATGGCTGCACTCCTAGCTGCAATGGAAGCATGGGAATGTACTTTTCACACCCAGTGGCAATATTCTCCGCTGCAAATTTGCTCTAAGGAAAAAGAGGAGAATGGCAGCCAGTAGTCTGCCACAAATCTAAAGCAGAATTTAAACTTTGGTTTCTGGAGTCTGACTGCCTGGTTGTAATCCTAGCTCTGCCACGTTGGGCAAGGTCCTTCGTCTCTCTCTGCCTCAAGGTCCTCACTTGTAGAATGAGGACAGTGATAGCTCTCTCATAGGGTGTTTCTGAGAGTTAAATGTGAGGTGTCATCTCCAGTGCGTGAGCATGTTATTAGATAAAAGCGGGTCGTAAACATAGGTAATAAATATAATTACTTCTTACTAGAAGTAATTTCACTTTGACCTCTCCCCATCAGGGCCCTGGAGTCACAGGTTGGTGTGTAGGGTACTGCTTAGAGAATGGCAGGTGGCCAGGAGGAGCCTGGGAGGAGAGGGCTGAGTTGCTGGGCTCTTTTCTCTGGCAGGTTTGGCCACGGCACCTTTCTGCTGTGCCTGGAAACCATTTACCAGAAAGTGACGGGCAAAGAGCTGAGATATGAGGGCCTGATGGGCAAACCCAGCATCCTCACTTACCAGTACGCAGAGGACCTGATCAGGCAGCAGGCGGAGAGGCGGGGCTGGGTCGCGCCCATCCAGAACCTCTATGCTGTAGGGTGAGCTCTGCTCCATCTCCTCATCCTTCCCTTCCTCCCCACCCACTCACCTCCCTGTGTCCCCACGCCTAGTGCACACCTCTCTCCCCACAACTGTCTTCTGCTGCTTTGCCTTGCAACACTGAACTCGGGTTTTCTCCTCTTTCTTTTTCCGGTGTGGCTGCCCCTGCCAGTGATAACCCTATGTCTGATGTCTACGGTGCCAACCTGTTCCACCAGTACCTGCAGATGGTGAAGCATGATGGGGCACAGGAGCTGGGGGCCGGTGGCCTGTGGAAGCAGCGTCCCTCAGCCACCCAGAGCTGTACCTCCATCCTGGTGTGCACTGGCGTGTACAGTCCCAAGGTCCCGGTGTCCACAGAGCCTGCACAGAGGGGAGAAGAGCCTCCCTTCCACGGGCACCGGGACTTCCGCTTCAGTCAGGAGCTCATGGAGGCATCCCACATTGTGCACGACGTGGACGAGGCTGTGCAGCTGGTTTTCCACAAGGAGGGCTGGGCTTTGTAGCGAGGGCTGGGCAGTGGGGGCAAAGGGGTGGGAGGGAGCCTGCAGCCCTAGGGGTCCTGTTGGCTCGCTCTAGCCCAGATCACTGGGCATCGAGTCAGGGCCTGCTTACCGTGACACTCTTCCTGCTGGCCCACAGTGTGATGTTATTGGTCTCTCGCAAGAAGACAGTGGCTTTTTTTCTGCTGGGCAGTTGCCACAGAATTGTACCCTGGGTAGCATTTTGGATAGAACTTCAGGATTTTCTGGGCCTCATTCCTGTCTGCCTCTCCTAGCACTCTGACCTCAGGCCAGTCCCTTTACCTCTGTGCCTCAGTTCCCTCATCATTTCAGAAGGGACTTCTGAAAAAAGGGGAGGTGGTGTGGAATAATGTGGAAATTTCTGCAGGGCTTTTGTCTGCATTGAAGCAACCACTGCGTGCCAGCAAGGTGTGTAACTAACACTCACATACTACTTTTTATTGTATTTTAGCTTATTGCCTACAGACTTTGGGACTTATTTTTTTAAATTAAAATAATCATAATAAATATTCCTTATGCTGTCTCTTCTGAAGCTCTGTCTGGAATGTACTAGAAAGCCCTGTGGGGGAACGACAGTGGGTGAGTGTGTGGGCGACCTTGAGGCAGAGAAGTTGGTGGCATTTTCCTCCCGTAAGGTGCTGATGTCCGCTCTCCTGCTGCTGTTCTCCCACAACCCCCACCCCCCAGGCCGGGCTGTGAAGCCCCAGGCTGTCTGGGAGTGAGTGCATGCCAGGCTTTGGCATATCCTTAGCGTCTTTCCTGATGTGGAAAAGAAAAAGGATCTGGTTTATGGTTTGTTGTAAAGGAAGGAGCTTTCCTACAGTGATTCTGGAAAGTATGTGTTTCTTTTATTCCTCCTCTAGGAGTAATCCAGTTCCATCTTTCCATGGTCTGTGTCACCTAGGACCTCACGCTTGCCAAATCCCCTAGTCAGTTCTCGTCCTCATCTGACTCCAGCAGTTGTTTGCATTTGACACAAGCTGATTACTCCTTCCCTTCTTAAAACACTCTTTACTTTGGTTCTATCTGACCCACCTCTTGACACCTCTGTTTGGATGCCTGGTAGTCATTGAGAGGGGAGGGAACATAGGAAATTGAGAAACAGCGGCCAGTGACACGGGATGGGAATTGAGAGCTGGTGTCCTGGAAGCTGACTGAACGAGTTTCGTGAAGGAGGATGAGGAGCTGTGCTCATTCCACATGCATCAGAGCTTAACCGCGTGCAGGACGCAGCTGGTCCCCCTCCAGTACCCCGAGTAATCTGGGTCTTCTAATCCTCCCCACTTGAGACAGTAGCACTCCTTTTTTCTTGTTTAGGCTGAAGGCTTGGCTTCATCCTTGTCTTCTCTCTCTCTCTCTCTCTCTCTCTCATTTCCCACGTCCAGTCCAGTCCACCAGCAGATCCTGTCAGCTTTGCCTTCAGTATGTACCAGACTAAGGGCACTCTCCAGCCTTCAACACCACGCTGGTCCAGTCTGCTGGCATCTCTCGCCTGGATTCTTGCAGAAACCTAATCTCTGGCCTCCCTGCCTCCTCTCTTCCCTCTCTCCCTCCCTGATACTTTCCACTCGGGGGCCCAGAAGTCAGATCGTACATTTGATCTATTCTGATTGAAAACCCTCCTCTGACTTCTTGTCTCACTCAGAGTCAAAGCCAGAGTTCCTGACCACCGCACAAATGCCTCTGCATCCTGTTCCACCACGGCTTCTCGGGCCTACCCCTTCCCCTTCAGTCACCACACACTAGCCGTGCTGGCTCTCTTGCTGGGCCACTGTCCGCTCCTCCTCGGGGCCCCTGAACTTGCATTCCCTCTGCCTTCTGATATCCACATGACTTGCTCTATCCCTTTTTTGTTTTCTGATCACTTCTTAAAGGTCTGGTGCATATGTCACTTCAAAGAGAATCCCTCAACTTCCTAAAAAAAATAGCAGTTTCTAGCCCTCTTATGCTGCTGAATGTTTTCCATAGTCCTTATCACCTCATGACCTATATTTACGTCCTTAATCTATGTTTTCTACTAAAATATGAGCTGCATGGACATTGTCCATATTGACTCATTCTTTATCCCCACACCTACATGCCTGGCACTTGGCAGGGTTTCAGACCCTGAAAGACCTCCTGTAGGGTCCTTAGAGACAAACACGGCTTTCCTTCCTTTCTTCTCCCTTGGGGAGTATGGCAAAAGTGAGAAGACGAAGGGTCTTGGAGTCAGACTGACATGGAATCGAAGCCCAGCTCTGTTGCTCACCAGCTATGTGGCCTTGGGCAATTTCCTTCACTTCTCCAAGCTTCCGTTTTCTCGTCTGTAAAATTGGCATTGGGAATGTGTATTTCAGAAATGAGCTATTTTAAGTGAAGTACTGTTTAATTTAGGATTTTGTTCAGCTGTTTGCCACAGAAATCTGAGTACAGTGGCTGAACAAGTAGGTGGTCATTTTTCTAAGTAAGAAGTTCAGAGGTGGGCATTTGGGCTGCGGAACAAGCTCCAGGGTGTCACCCGGGGTGCAGGCCCTTGCCCGCCACCGTCTTAGCGTGTGTGTCTGTCCAGGTGCAGGCTGGCACTGTACCCTTCCAGGCCTTGCAGCCACATTCCCAAGAGGAAGGAGGAAAGGGCAAAGACAAAGCCAGTAGAGCTGGACTCCCTGTAAAGGACTTTCCGGAAGTTCCACCTCAGGACTTCCAGTCCTCTCTTGTGGACTACATTTGGGCCACAGGGTCACCAGTAGCTGCGCGGAGGCAGGGACAGGGCACACTGTTGCTCAGACAAAATCAGGGTCTGTTTGTAGGGGAGGCTAGTGGGATGGATGTGAGGTGGGCAACTAGCAGTACAACTCCAGCTCCTGGGCCCCAGAAGGCGGGAGCTACGAGGACTTCCTCCAGTGCTCTGAGGGAACGGGTGAAGCCCTAGCCAGCGAAGCCCCTTGTCAGTCGTCTGAACTGCTGGTCAGGTAACAGTCTGGCTAGCTCGTATTTGCATATCAGTTAACCTTTTCAAACCCAGCCTGACCAAAGCATTTTAAAGCAGACATCCTTTGTCCATGCTTGTTAGAGCCTCACGAAGCCCCTAATGGAGAGAGGCAATTCCTCTCTCTCACTTTTATAAATGAAGGCGCCCAGGCAGAGACCATTCATCCATGCTTTCATTTCAGAAACACTTGAAGACTGCTGGGGCCGTGTGCCATTCTAGGTGCCACAGCAGTGACGTCATTGGCGACAACACCTGCCTCGTGGGGTTCACCTCAGTGATGATGTGTCCAAAGTCGGTTAGTAAATGGAGGGGCTGGGCCTAGAGTTGGGACTCCTAACTCCGAGCCCAGTGTTCTCCCCAAGACATGCACCAAAGACCTTCCTGACCCCAGCCCGCCACTGTCCTTCCTCCACGCATTGCTTTATGTCCCAGAGCAGCTACTGTTGGAGATACAGGCAAGGTGGGCTCTCCTTGGGCCAGATGGGTCGAGCTTACCAAATGGAATGCCAAGTGAGAGCAGAAGTGAGTTGGAAAACGTGGCTACATGGGGAGGAACGCTGCCAGAGTCGAGAATACTTAGCTCCAGTTTGAAGAGAGAGAATGACAGCAGTTGTGTCTGTTTGCCTCTGTCCCTTTGACTAGCAGTCGTTCTGGCTCTGTGGCTCCTCTCTCCTTTTCTTACTTGTTTGGGTTTCCTAAAGATACTGCAAGCTATTCTAGACGGGGTCCAGAGAGCATGTGTACAGCAACATTACTTATGCAAATCTATGTTGGAGAGCAGGGCCAGCCTCTCAGTTCCATTGCCAATCTTGTTCCTTAGGGGCTTTGTCTAAACCGTGGAACCAAAACTCAAAACCAACTGCTTCGTTTGCTCAACGCCAAACTGAATGAAGATGTTTCCTTTTTGTGTTTGTTGGAGCCAAGTGAATACAAAACGAAAAAGACTTTGTGAGTCAATTTGAACAGGAAGTGAGCACATATTTATAATGAAATTATTAACCTTGAACAAAACGATGCCATCAGGTGTTCACAGTGAGCACATAGAAGCAGCTTGGCGTCAGACACAGGGGCACTTCCTCAGTGTGCCCCTTGGTGGCAGCAGCTTCTGGCCTCCTGAGGACACCTCGGGCTCCCAAGGCAGGTGCGGTGAGCAAGCCGGCAATCAGGACCCCCAGCGGAGCTAGGGTTGCTGTGGCAACCGGATGCTGCCTGGAGGGCGGATTTTAAAATATCTCAGCTATAATAGTTGTTTTTCCCCCAATCACTCTGTCACTTCCCCAGTGCTGTGTGGTGCTGCTGAGGCCGGCTGTGCTGGGACGCCTGCTTCTCTGCCTGGGGCTCTTGGCAGCTTTGGGGGTTGGAGGTGGGAGGATTGTCTCAGGGTGTGAACTGCTGGGAAGCTGACAGAGCTTCAGCTTTTGCTTCCAGGCTCCTCCAGCTCTTGGTTCCCACAGCCTTATGTCATTTTCTCTTTCTTGTGAGGCAGAGAGGAGGGGTTTAGCTTGAAACTTCCTCCCCCCCTCCTCCCACTCTGACTTGAGCCTTCTGGCTTACACTCTGCCAGAGCAGCCTTGGCACTCCCGGGACCTCTCTCTGGTGAGGGGAGGGCATGTCCCTCTTTGTCTGCTTTTCCCCTTGGTCTTTCTAACTTCCTCTTTTGGCTTCGTTTATTCACTCATCAAAAGACTGTTGAGCACATACTAAGCCCCGGGCTAAGACACGAGAAACTGTTTTTGTCCTGGAAGAGGTCATCACTGTCTTTACCCTGGACTCGGCCCTATCAGATTGCAAACATTTTTATAAAGTTACAGTAATTAAGACAGTGTTCCATTGGCAGAGGGAGGGATACAAACCAGTGGGACAAGATAGCACTCAGACACGCGGATATGCAATATATGAAAATGTGGCTTAACAAAATAAGTATTTGTTTCTTGTTTGTTTCATAGTCTGATGTGGGCTAAGTGGCTTCATGGCCTTTCCCCTCCAGGTGGGACTCAGGGATCCAGACACTGTCCATTTTGCGATGCTGTCATCTCCAACACGTGGTTTCTAAGGTCTCTGTGGAAGATGGAGAGAGAATGCGTGACTGTGAAAGGATTTATGGCCAGACCTGAGACTGGTGTACGTCACTTCTGTCCATATCCACTGGCCAGGCGCAGGGTTCCAATGCACCTCCCAAGAGGCTGGGAAACGTGGTCTTTCTCTGTGTTTGGGAAAAGGAGATGGGATCTGTCAGCATCTAGCCTGTCTCTGTCGCCATATCACTGTTTACTAGGATAAAGAAATTCTGTTTTGTTTAGTTTTTGTTTCAATTCATGAATAAATGTTGAAACTTGTTTCTCTATATGTATGGAGTTATCATAAATGTTTTTCTCCTTTAACCTGTTAATGTGGTGAATTACACTGATAGATGTTCTTCGTCTTTGGCTCTGCCTGTCATCCCTGTGATGATGCCCATGTGGTCACGCTGCCTTTGGTTGGCTCTTCTAGCTATGTTTTGTTTCGGAGCTCTTTGTGTGTGTTCATAAATGAGATTGGCCAACATTTGTCTATGACTGTCTGGTTTTGATATCAATTGTATTAGCCTCATAAAATAAATGGTGACCCATTTCATCTTTTCCTGTTTTCTGGGACAGTTTGTTTAAAGTGGGATTATCAGTTCCTTCAATATTTGTGGAACACACAAAACCATCTGGACCTGGTAAATTTTGTGGGGGAGACTTTTAATTACTGATTAAATTTCTTTAATAATTAAATGTATATTCAGATTTTTCTACTTCTGACAGTTTGGGAAAGTCATATTTTTCTAGAGAATTTTCCATTTTTCTCGAAGTTTTCAAATACATTGGTGTAACGTTGTTCATAAATTCTTATCATTAAAAATCTCTATTGTTTCTGTAGTTAGATCACTTTTTTCATTCCTGTATTGCTTATTTATGCTTTCTCCCTTTTTTTCTTAATAAATCATGCCAGATATTTGTGTATTTAAGTATCAGTTTTTACTATTTCTGTTCTTTAATTTTTCCTTCTGTATGTTTTCATTGCATTTACTCTGTTGTTCTTTCTCCAACTTATTAATTTGGATGCTTAGCTTATTAATTTTTTGTCTTTCTCCTTTTGAACACAAACACTTAAGGCTATAAATTTGCCCCTAAGTTTTGCTTTGGCTGTGTCCCATTCCTTTTGACAAGCAGTGTTTTTGTGATCATTTAGTTCTAAATATTTTCCACTTTTTGCATAAGTTATTTGGAAGTATGTTTTAAAATTTCCAAATATATGGGGAGTGGTTGGTTGTCTTTCTGTTCCTGTGTTCTAATCTAATTGCTTTGAGGTCAAGGAATATGATCTGTACATGGTTAGGTTTTATAAATATTGAATATGCATTTGTGAACTATGTGTAGTATCTAATTTTCAGGGGTAGAGAGTTTTATATTTGGCCATTAAATCAAGCTTGTTAATGATGTCGTTAAACTTGTATGTATATTTACCATTGTTTTATCTGTTTGGTCTATCAATTACTGAGATGTGTTTGTACCTCCCACTCTAATTAGGTATTTGCCAATGTCTAATTATAATATTATCCATTTTGCTTTATGTATTTTGAAGCTGTGTTATTGTGTATGTAGAAGTTCAGAACTATGGTGTCTTTCTGGAACTTGGTGCTTTTATAGCGCAAATAGCTATATAGCACCTTGTGCCAAGCATTTTCTAAGTGTTCTTGATATATTAATTCATTTATCCCTCATAACAACTCTATGAATTGGGAACTACTGTCCCCATTTTACAGATGAGAAAATTGAGGACAGAGAGTTAAGTAACTTGCCCAAGGTGACCCAGCTTCTAAGTGGTGGAGTCAGGATTTGAACCCAGGTAGTCTGGTTCTAGAGTGTGTGTCCTTAACTACTATGCTCTTCTCTCTCTTTTATCATTATACGGTGAAATTCTTTATCCCTCATAATTTTCTTGGGCATGAAGTTTATTTTTTTCTAATGTTAATATAGCCATGCCAGCTTAAGTTTAGTTAATATTTTCCTGGTTTATTTTTATAAATACGTTAAAAATATATATGTGTACATACATATATATTTTTAAGCCTTTTACTTTCAATGTCTTTATATTTTAGGGATATTTTTTTGTAAAAGCATATAGCTGGAAATTTTTAAAAAATCTAATCTGATAATCTCTGTTATTTAATAGGACATTTATTGTGATTACAGATATATTTAGCTTTTTTCTTTTTAACTATCCATTGCATTCTGGCTTCTATTATTTCTGATGAGAGGTCTGCTGTCAGTACAACTGTTGTTCTAAACGAAAAGACAACCTAACAACTGGGAGAAGATATGTGCAAAACATATATCAGATAAGGGGTTAATATCCAAAATATACAAAGAACTCATAGATCTCAACAACCAAAAAACCAACAACCCAATTAAAAAATGGGCAAAAGATCTGAACAGAGATTTCTCCAAAGAAGATATATGGATGGCCAACAGGCATATGAAAAGATGCTCAACATCATTAGCTATCAGGGAAATGCAAATCAAAACTACAATGAGGTATCACCTCACTCTGGTCAGAATGGCTATAATTAACAAGACAGGAAACAACAAATGTTGGAGAGGATGTGGAGAGAAGGGAACCCTCGTACACTGCTGGTGGGAGTGCAAACTCGTGCAGCCACTATGGAAAGCAGTATGGAGTATCCTCAGAAAATTAAGGATAGATCCAGCTATCCCACTGCTGGGTATTTATCCAAAGAACTTGAAAACACAAAGGCATAAAGATACTTGCACCCCTATGTTCATTGCAGCATTATACACAATAGCCAAGACATGGAAGCAACCTAGGTGCCCATCAAGGGATGAATGGATAAAGAAGATGTGGTATTTATACATGATAGACTACTACTCAGCCATAAGAAATGATGAAATCCGGCCATTTGTGACAACATGGATGGTCCTTGAGGGTATTATGCTGAGTCGAATTAGTCAGAGGGAGAAAGTCAAATACTGTTTGATCTCACTCATAAGTAGAAGATAAAAACAACGACAAGCACATAGCAATGGAGATTGGACTGGTGGTTACCACAGGGGAAGAGGGGTTAAAGCAAAAGGGGTGATTAGGCTCACACATGAGTGGATGGACTATAATTAGTTTTTGAGTGGTGAACATTATGTAATCCACACAGAATTTGAAATATATTACAAGGTACATCTGAAAGCTATATAATGTTATAATCCAATGTTACTGCAATTAAAAAAATATATATATGTAACTGTTTTTGTTTTTGTTTTTGAGGAAGATTAGCCCTGAGCTAACTGCTGCCAATCCTTCTCTTTTTGCTGAGGAAGACTGGCCCTGAGCTAACATCTGTGCCCATCTTCCTCTACTTTCTATGTGGGATGCCTACCACAGCATGGCGTGCCAAGGGGTGCCATGTCCGCACCTGGGATCCGAACCAGTGAACCCTGGGCCGCCGAAGTGGAATGTGGGCACTTAACTGCTGAGCCAGCCAGCTGACCCCATAACTATTGCTCTTTGCAAGTAGTTTGTTTTTACTGTCTGGTTTCTCTTAAGATCTTTTCCTTGTTTAGACATTCTATAGTTTCACATCAAAGCATCTAGGAGCATGTTTATTTCTATTCATCCTGTTTAGGATTCATTGCAATTCCTAATCATGAATTGGAGAAGTTCTCTCATCAATTTTGGAAAATTCTCAGCCAAAATTTCTTTATTGCCTTTCCCCCATTCTTTCTGGTTTCTACTTCTGGAATTTCTATTAGGGATATTTTGGATCTTCCCAATTCATCCACTATGTCTTTGGATCTCTCTTTTATATGTTCCAATCTCTAGCTCTCTGTGCTGCATTCTAGAGAATTTCTTCAGATATATTATTAAATTTACTAACTCTTGAATTGTGTCTACGTTTTGCTTAAACTATTAAATTTTTTTCAATGACTATATATTTGAAATCTGAAGGTCTTTTAAAAAAATTTTCCTTTTTTGTATCAACTTTTTCTAGTATAACATTTAATTTCTTTAATGATTTTTAAACTATTTTTAAGTTTTTTCTTAGTGGTTGCTCTAGGGCTTACAACATACATCTTAGCTTATGAGAATCTGCTTCAAATTTATATCAATTTAATTCCAGTGAGATATAGAAACTATACTTCTGTATATTTCTATTCCCTTTTTTGTGCTATTATTATACATCTTAATTTCTAGGTATGTTACAAACCAAACAATACATTGTTATAATTATTACTTTATATAATTTTATGTCTTTTGAAGAAGCTGAGAGTAGAAGGGAGAGAAAGTATATATTTATACAGTTTGTCATACTAAACTTCTTATTTACCATTTCTGGTTCTTTTAATTTTTGAGGATTCAAATTACCATCTTATGACAGATCTTTGCTTTAATACAGCTTTGCTCCCACCCACCTCCTTTGTGCTGTTATTCTCAAATATATTACATTTGTGTATGTTAAAGGCCCAACAATACAATTATAATCATATGGTTTTAAGCAATTTTTTCAGACAATTTTTTAAGAGCAGTTTTAGGTTCACAGCAAAATTGAGAGAAAGATACAGAGATTTCCCATATACACCCCTGCCTCCACACAGGCACAGCCTCCCCAGTTATCAATATTTCCCTCCAGAGTGGTACATTTGTTACAACCAAGGAACTTAGAATGACACATCATTATCCCCCGAAGTCCCTAGTTTACATACGGGTTTACTTTTGGTGTCGTACATTATATGGGCTTGGACAAACTTACAATGACACGTATCCATTATAGGATCATACAGAGTGTTTTCACTGCCTTAAAAATCCTGTGTTCCACTTATTCATCCCTCTCTCCCTCCTAACTTCTGGCAACCACTGACATTTTTACTGTCTCCATAATTTTGCCATTTCCAGAATGTCATGTACTTGGAATCATACAGTATGTAGGTTTTTCAGATTGGCTTCTTTCACTTAGTAATATGCATTTAAGGTTCCTTCATGTCTTTTCATGGCTTGATTGCTCATTTCTTTTTAGCATTGAGTAATATTCCATTGTCTGTATGTACCACAGGTTATTTATCTATTCGCCCATTGAAGGACATCTTGGTTGTTTCCAAGTTTTGGCAATTAGGAATAAAGCTGCTATAAACATCACGTACAGGTTTTTGTGTGGACATAAGTTTTCAACTCCTTTGGGTAAATACCAAGGAATGCAATTGCTGGATGATATGGTAAGGGTATGTTTAGTTCTGTAAAAATGCCAAACTGTCTTCCAAAGTGGCTGTACCATTTTGCATCCCCACCAGCAGTGAATGAGAGTTCCTGTTGCTCCACATCCTCACCAGCATTTGATGTCGTCAGTGTTCTGGATATTGGCCATTCTAATAGGCATGTAGTGGTATCTCACTGTTTGGAATTTGCATTTCCCTGATGACATATGATGTTGAGCATCTTTCTTTTCATAAGCTTATTTCATATGGCCCGTTTCTCAATCAGCTTGTTTGTTTTCTTATTGTTGAGTTTAAGGGTCCCATGTATATTTTGGATAACAGTCATTTATCAGATATGTCTTTTGCAAATATTTTCCTCCCAGTCCATGGCTTGTCTTTTCATCCTCTTGACAGTGTCTTTTACAGAGCAGAAATTTTTAATTTTAATGAAGTCTAGCTTATCAATTCTTCCTTTCATGGATCATGCCTTTGGTGTTGTATCTAAAAAGTCATTACCAAATCCAAGGTCATCTAGATTTTCTCCCATGTTATCTTCTAGGAATTTTATGGTTTTGTGTTTTACATTTAGGTCTGTGATCCACCCTGAGTTAATTTTTGTGAGGGGTGTAAGGTCTGTGTCTAGATTCATTTCTTTGCATGTGGATGTCTAGTTGTTCCAGTACCATTTGATGAAAAGACATGATTGCTTTTTTTAAAAATTGAGGTCATAATAGTTTATAACATTGTGAAATTTCAATTGTACATTATTTGTCAGTCACAATATAAATGTGCCCCTTCACCACTTGTGCCCACCCTCTAAACCCCTTCTCTCTGGTAACCACTAAACTGTTATCTTTTTGTGTTTTGTCTTCTACAAATGAGTGAAATCATACTGTGTTTGTCTTTCTCTGTCTGGCTTATTTCGCTTAATATAATACCCTCAAGGTCCATCCATGTTGTTGTGAATGGGATGATTTCATCTTTTTCATGGCTGAGTAGTATTCCATTGTGTGTATATATATATATATATATATATATATATATATACTACATCTTCTTTATCCAATCATCAGTCGATGGGCACTTGGGTTGCTTCCATGTCTTGGCTACTGTGAATAATGCTGCAATGAGCATAGAGGTGCGTAAGTCTCTTTGTAGTGTTGCTTTCAAATTCTTTGGATAAATACCCAGTAGTGGGATAGCTGGGTCATATGGTATTTCTGTTTTTAATTTTTTGA